GTGATAAAAATTGTGTTAAAAGAGTAATTAGAGATTAAGCCATGTCATCTTTTTCTATAGACATGTCATAATTTTTCAATGACAAGTCATAGTTTTGAGCCAATAAGATTAAAACAAATAATCATTCTAACTAATTGTACTTCTCTTTTAATAGGAAGGAGATTACTGCTATTTTTCATTATTTTATTAATTAAATTATCAGCGGTGTTATATTTTAATTTTATCAAACTATTATTATCGTTTTGTATGACTAATTAAATCGTCTACATAAAAATAAATAAATAACAGAGTGAGAGAGAATAAAAACGTAAAAATCGGAATATGATTCATTGCTTAGTTACTAATTAGTATGGTTTTTTTTTTTGGTCAAAACTAATTAGTATGGTTAAAACTATACTTTAATCATATTCATAGGCGCTTTTATTGAAAATAGGGGTCAATAATACAATAGTTAATTACCTAAATTTAATCATAAAGACAAAAAATAACAATAATCATAAAGATTAAAGACGACTGAAAACCAAAAAGTCACATTACACACATTACACACACTCACAATTGACATCGACGTGAAGCATCGTAAGCACCCAAAAAGGTTACGACTTTATTAGACTATTAAGCAATACAGTAACAAGCCCACGAAAAAAAAGTCGAAAGCAAACGCCTTTATACACAATCGAATCGACCCATAAAGTTTACATTTTTTCCTTTCTTAGCTTAACAGAGATTAGAGAGAAAGAGAAGAAAAGATTGTCTCTTTTTTGGTATTATTAATCTTAAAACGAAGAGAAGAGAGAGATCTTCTCTGCTTCTTCCTTCGTCTCTCTCTCGGATTCTCGATTGCCCAAGAACCCGAGTGACGCCTGGTTCCAGCTGATTCGTTTCTCTCTCTAGGACCTATCGATTTTGATCTAACAAAGCTGGTGAGGATCAGACCAAACCCACTGTGTCTGTGTGTTCTTTCTTTGTCGTTTTTGTTTTGTTTTTAATCTCTGTGATCGCGTCTACGTGTTGGGTCATGTAGAGAAACTCAATTTGTTTTGATTTGCAATGTGTCGATTGAGTTTGATATAAAACAGATTCATCGTGTCTGCTTTTGATTGGTTCTCTTGTTTGCAGCTATACTGTCTTGGGGTGTAGTGAGATGCTCGTTTTAGCTCGAAGATTCCGCCGGTTGATCTCAAACATAATCTCTCTCGAATCTACCGAACATGGATTTTGATGAGATCTCGTCTATCTTGGTAGAGCATTTACCAGTATTGGAGCTATGTTCGGTCTTCATCAACCTCACGCTTTTTCTCGTGTTTCTATTTGCTGTCTCCGCGAGGCAGATTCTTGTCTGCGTGAGAAGATGCAGAGATAGGCTCTCTAAGGAAGATACTGTTTCAGCTTCTAACCGTAATAACGTTAGCTTGGAAAGAGAGATTAACGATGTTAGTGTTGGGATTGGGTTTAAACTTTCTTTGCTCTGTTGCTTCTATGTGTTAGGCGCCCAAGTTTTGGTGTTAGTCTTTGATGGGATTAGTGTTGTAAGAAAGGTTAGTGACTGGTTTGTTCTTTGCTTTCCAGTTGCTCAGGGTTTAGCTTGGTTTGTCGTTAGCTTCTTAGTTCTTCATTTGAAATACAAGTCGTTGGAGAAGTTACCTTTCTTGCTGAGGGTATGGTGGTTCTTGTCGTTTTCGGTTTGTCTTTGTACGTTGTACATGGACGGAAGAAGGCTAGCGATTGAAGGTTGGAGCGGATGTTCCTCTCATGCTGTGGCCAATTTAGCTGTTACACCTGCTCTCGGGTTTCTTTGCTTTGTGGCGGTGAGAGGCATTTCTGGTATTGAAGTTCGCCAAAGCTCTTCTGATCTTCAAGAGCCTTTGCTTGTTGAAGAAGAGGCAGCTTGTCTTAAAGTCACTCCGTATAGTACTGCTGGACTGGTTAGCCTACTGACGCTTTCTTGGTTGGATCCACTTCTCTCTGCCGGTTCAAAAAGACCGCTTGAGCTCAAGGATATACCGCTTCTTGCACCAAAAGATAGAGCCAAGGCAAGTTACAAGGTCTTGAAGTCGAATTGGAAGAAATCGAAATCCGAAAATCCTTCAAAGCCTCCTTCTTTAGCTCGTGAGATTCTCAAATCCTTTTGGAAAGAAGCAGCTTGCAATGCCGTCTTTGCTGGGTTGAATACTCTCGTGTCCTATGTGGGTCCTTACATGATAAGCTACTTTGTTGATTATCTTGGAGGGAAGGAGATTTTCCCTCATGAAGGATATGTTCTTGCTGGGATATTCTTTGCGTCCAAGCTTGCAGAGACAGTCACCTCCCGTCAATGGTATATGGGGGTTGATATCTTAGGGATGCATGTTAGATCAGCTCTAACAGCAATGGTTTATCGAAAAGGTCTGAAACTTTCAAGTATAGCCAAGCAGAATCACACGAGCGGCGAAATTGTAAACTACATGGCAGTTGATGTCCAGCGCATAGGAGATTACTCTTGGTATCTTCATGATATTTGGATGCTTCCAATGCAAATAGTTCTCGCTCTAGCAATCTTATATAAAAGTGTGGGCATAGCATCTGTAGCTACATTAGTTGCGACAATTATCTCGATTCTTGTCACAATTCCATTGGCTAAAATTCAGGAAGAGTATCAAGATAAGTTGATGGGTGCGAAAGACGAAAGAATGAGGAAAACATCAGAATGTCTTAGGAACATGAGAGTTCTAAAATTGCAGGCGTGGGAAGATCGGTACAGAATGAGATTGGAAGAAATGAGAGAAGAGGAGTATGGTTGGCTTCGCAAAGCCTTGTATTCGCAGGCTTTTGTTACTTTCATCTTCTGGAGTTCCCCAATCTTTGTATCCGCAGTTACATTCGCTACTTCGATATTCCTAGGCCATCAACTTACAGCTGGAGGTGTTCTTTCTGCTCTGGCGACATTCAGAATTCTTCAGGAGCCACTTAGGAACTTTCCTGATCTGGTATCAATGATGGCTCAGACAAAGGTTTCTCTTGATAGGATTTCCGGGTTCTTGCAGGAGGAAGAGCTTCAGGATGATGCAACTACTGTTATTCCATGTGGACTTTCGAATATAGCTATAGAGATTAAAGACGGTGTGTTTTGTTGGGACCCTTTTTCTTCAAGGCCAATATTATCTGGGATTCAAATGAAGGTAGAGAAAGGTATGCGTGTGGCTGTCTGTGGTACAGTTGGCTCGGGAAAATCAAGTTTTATCTCTTGCATCCTCGGGGAAATCCCAAAAATCTCTGGTGAAGTAAGTTAATGTGTGGTGTTTCTTCTTAATTGCTCCATTTCATCTGTATTATTTCTCTTAAAAATTATTAATCGTCCTACTGATAATTGTTATATAGGTTAGAATATGTGGTACTACTGGTTATGTGTCTCAGTCGGCTTGGATTCAGTCTGGTAACATTGAAGAAAACATTCTATTTGGCAGTCCAATGGAGAAAGCAAAGTACAAGAATGTGATACAAGCATGCTCCTTGAAAAAAGATTTAGAGCTTTTCTCACATGGGGACCAAACTATTATCGGAGAGAGAGGTATAAATCTCAGCGGTGGCCAGAAGCAACGTGTACAACTTGCAAGGGCATTATATCAAGATGCTGACATTTATTTACTAGACGACCCTTTTAGTGCTCTTGATGCACACACTGGCTCTGATTTGTTTAGGGTAATAAGCTATTCTATTAACTCAAATTATGTTTTCATGTTTTGAACGTTTGCGTAATGAGGTAATTAATGATTATATAGGACTACATTCTATCTGCGTTGGCTGAGAAAACTGTGGTTTTTGTGACGCATCAAGTTGAGTTTCTTCCTGCAGCTGATCTAATATTGGTAAGAAACTCTTTTTCTCGGTTTTACATACGCATTAACTTCAGCTACTGTTGGACCTTTTAGAAATGCTAAAGGGTCTCTTATAGGTGTTTATCTTACCAGCTGTGATGAACTTGTCTCTATTGTTGCAGAAAGGTAAAATTGTTGAAGGAGTAATCAGACTATTTATCTTATGATAAGCTCTGAAAATGTTTATTTGTGTTGTTTGTAAAAGGTTCTGAAGGAAGGCCGCATTATTCAATCGGGTAAATATGATGATCTGCTACAAGCAGGTACTGATTTCAAGGCGTTAGTGTCTGCCCACCACGAAGCAATCGAGGCCATGGACATCCCAAGCCCCTCCTCAGAAGACTCTGATGAAAACCCGATTCTGGTCTTGCATAACAATCCAAAGTCAGATGTTTTTGAAAATGATATCGAGACTTTGGCAAAGGAAGTACAAGATGGTGGATCTGCTTCGGATCTAAAGTTGATCAAAGAGAAGAAGAAAGCAAAGCGTTCCCGCAAAAAGCAGCTTGTAACAGAAGAGGAAAGAGTAAAGGGAAAAGTTAGCATGAAGGTGTACTTGTCATACATGGGTGCAGCATATAAAGGGCTTCTAATTCCTCTTATTATACTGGCACAAGCTTCTTTCCAATTTCTTCAGATTGCTAGTAATTGGTGGATGGCTTGGGCGAATCCTCAAACTGAAGGTGATCAGTCTAAAGTGGATCCTACAGTTCTTCTGGTTGTTTATACGGCCTTAGCTTTTGGGAGCTCCGTGTTCATATTTGTACGAGCTGCTCTGGTTGCAACTTTTGGTCTAGCTGCTGCACAGAAGCTGTTCTTGAATATGCTCAGAAGTGTGTTCCGAGCGCCAATGTCATTCTTTGATTCCACTCCTGCAGGAAGAATTTTGAATCGGGTATGTATATGTGATGATATGTAACCAAAATCCACACTTTCTGTATTAGGTTCTGATTTCAGGAATTTGACTCGTGTGCAGGTTTCAATTGATCAAAGTGTTGTGGACCTTGACATTCCATTTAGACTCGGTGGGTTTGCTTCAACAACGATACAACTCTTTGGAATTGTCGCTGTAATGACCAATGTTACCTGGCAAGTTTTCCTCCTTGTTGTTCCCGTAGCGGTTGCTTGCTTTTGGATGCAGAAATATTACATGGCTTCTTCAAGAGAACTGGTTCGCATTGTTAGTATCCAGAAGTCTCCAATAATTCATCTCTTTGGAGAATCAATAGCTGGTGCAGCCACAATAAGAGGATTTGGCCAGGAAAAGAGATTCATCAAGAGGAATCTTTATCTTCTCGATTGTTTTGCTCGTCCTTTCTTCTGCAGTATTGCTGCTATAGAATGGCTTTGTTTACGCATGGAGTTACTTTCCACACTTGTATTTGCTTTCTGTATGGTATTACTCGTCAGTTTTCCTCATGGAACCATTGATCCAAGTAAGTATCAACTTTCATCTAGCAAAATAGCATCAACAAACACAGATCCTTAACTAGCAGCAAGTTTATCCTAATCTTCTTGTTTCTGTTGTAATAGGCATGGCAGGGCTTGCTGTGACATATGGACTTAACTTGAATGGACGTCTATCACGATGGATACTTAGCTTTTGTAAGCTTGAAAACAAAATTATCTCGATCGAAAGGATTTATCAGTACAGTCAGATTACAGGAGAAGCCCCAGCAATTATCGAAGATTTCCGCCCACCTTCCACGTGGCCTGAAAAGGGAACAATCGAGCTGCTTGATGTAAAGGTACTAAGCAAAAAAAATACTCCCATTTTTATTACCTCTCTGTACTTTCTTTCCCTATTTCCTCATTGTTACCTTCTTTTTGAAGGTTCGTTATGGTGAGAATCTTCCAACGGTACTCCACGGGATAAGCGCTGTGTTTCCGGGTGGAAAAAAGATTGGAATTGTTGGGCGAACGGGAAGCGGAAAGTCGACTTTGATTCAAGCTTTGTTTCGGTTGATTGAGCCAACTGCTGGAAGAATTACTATTGACAACATTGATATCTCTAAAATTGGTCTTCATGATCTTCGTAGTCGCCTCGGTATCATACCTCAAGATCCTACATTATTTGAAGGAACAATCCGAGGAAACCTTGACCCACTTGAAGAACATTCAGATGATAAAATCTGGGAGGTATATATATTTCACACTCATAAAGACGCAAATCCCTGGGAATTAAAGCTTAGTTCTAGAGATTTACTCTCAACTTTTTGCTTACAGGCGCTTGATAAATCCCAGCTTGGAGATGTTGTTAGAGGGAAAGACCTAAAACTTGACTCACCAGGTAACTACTTGCACCAAAAACGTCCTTTTAGCGCGATCTCTTCACATCTTTGTACTGATTTTTGGATCCAAAACATGAACTGGTTTAGTGCTGGAAAATGGAGACAACTGGAGTGTTGGGCAGAGGCAGCTTGTTTCGCTAGGACGAGCATTACTGAAACAAGCAAGAATACTTGTTCTTGATGAAGCAACGGCATCAGTCGACACAGCGACAGACAATCTGATCCAGAAGATAATCAGAACCGAGTTTGAAGGCTGCACGGTCTGCACTATTGCTCACCGGATCCCAACTGTTATCGACAGTGACCTTGTTTTAGTTCTCAGCGACGGTTAGTCATATATAGAAAAGCAAAAAATAAAAATAAAAAACATGAATCATTTCTCCATATTACTCGTCTTTTGGGAGAACTAAATGTTGTTTTACGGTTTGTGTTGCAGGTAAAGTAGCGGAATTCGATACTCCTGCACGGCTCTTAGAAGACAAATCATCGATGTTCTTGAAATTGGTAACCGAATACTCCTCAAGATCTAGTGGAATGCCTGATTTTTGATCATTGATGTTAAAAATTCAGGTTTGGGGTGGTTTCTCTCGAGAGAATAGAAAAAAACTGAAAAATGTGACAAAAGCTTAAGGTCTAAGTCTAACTAAGAGAGAGTTTTCCACAGGGTGACAAAAAAAAAAAGAGCATGAAAATGATGCAATCTTGACGCTTTAAAATACGTTTAAATCTGTTCTTTTGAACATTGAAAGAGACCTTTTTGTACGGAACACTTAGTTTATGTGGTTTCTTTTTTTTTTAATGTCATTAATAATCTGCAAAAACAAAGAAAGATTACAAGTGTAAATGGGCCATTGATCTATATTGGGCCCAATAGAATTATATCTGAAACGACGTGGTACGATGACGCAGTACCCGATGAGAAAACGAGGTGGGTGGAGCGTGCGTGTATAAATACACCTATATATTTAATTTCTTTCAACGGTCAC